ATCCTGACTCCCAGGGACCCTATGTACAAAGGAACACAATACCGCCCAGTCCTGCGTGCTCCCTGATGGCAAAGTGGTTAAGTGCTTGGCTGGTTAAGCTCCACGTGTCAAACCCAGCTTCTGCTCTGTGTGAGAAAGATGGGTGGGGAGAGGAGAGGAGGAAGGGGAAACCTATTGCAATAATCGACACGTAACCAGCCACGTAACCAGTCACCCCCAGGGGGAGGAACAACAGAAACCATGGGGGACAGTGGTTGGTGTAAGATATGAAAATAATAATAATTAATAATTCATCAATGGGTTACAGGGGGGGAAGGGAGGGAAAAATAAAGTTGGTGATAAGTTTTTCCATCTCTTAAAAAATGTGGATGGGATCTGGATAGGTATTGCATTATATCTATACATAAAAAACAAACAAACAAACCCTTACTGCCATTGAGTCTATGTGGACTCGTAGCAACACTACAGGACAGGGTAGAACAGCCCCTGTGAGTTCCGAAGATTCTAACTCTACAGAAGTAACAAACCTCATCTTTCTCGAATTGCTGACCTTGCAGTTAGCAGCCTAACAAGTAACCACTACTCCATAGCTTTCTCATAATGTTAACTCTTTCTGCCCATGAGAATGAGTTTTTCTTCCTTTAGGTAAGTCTCTTGATTTCTTGCAGTAGTGTTTTGTAGTTTTCTATGTTTAGTCTTTTGTATCTCTGGTCAGTGTTTTCCTAAGTATTGAATCTTTTGAGTAGTTGCAAATGATATTGTTTTTCAGATTTTAATTTAGAGTTCTCTTTCTTTGTGTAGAGGAAATGATAGATTTTTATATGTTGATCGTGAACCCTGCCAGTTAGTTCCAGTAGTTTTGTTGTTGTTTAGTATCTGGGATTTTCGATGTATAGGATCTTATCTGCAAATCGAATTGAAAAAAAAATTCTTTACCTATTTGGATACTTTATATTTCCTTTTCTTGCCTCATTGCTCTAGATAGGACTCCCAATACAATATTAAATACTTAAAAAGAAAACAAAACACTAAACCCACTGCCACAGAGTCAACTCTGACTCAAATCTTTATGGGAGCAGACAGTCTCATCCTTTGTCTGCTGCGTCACTGGAGGGTTTGAACACCAGCCTTTTGTTGAGAAATGCAACACGTAACCCACAGCACCACCAGTGCTCTATAACATGTGACTGTCCACTGCCGTCGAGTTGATTCTGCCTTCTGGTGAATAGGAGTGTTTATAAAGGGCATCCTTGTCTGATTGCCATTCTTAAGGAAAATGCTTTCAGGTTTTCTTCCTTGAGAAGAATCTTTGCTGTTGGTTATGGATGTATGCCCTTCATTGTGTTGAGGGATTTCCTTTATGTGCGTATTCTTTTTTTTTAAATCAATTTATTGGGGCTCATACAATTCTTCACAATACATAGATCAATTGTGTAAAGCACATCTATACATTTGTTGCCCTCATCATTCCCAAAATTCGCTTGCCTCTTGGGTTCCCGGAATCCGCTCATTTTCCTTTTTTTTTTCCCCCCCCCCTTCCCTTCCTCCTCCCCTTTCCCCCATGCACCCTTAATAATTTATAAATTATTATTGTATCCTATATTACACTGTCCGGTGTCTCCCTTCACCCACCCCGCTGCTGCCCAACCCCAGAGAGGAGGCCATACGTGGCTCCCTGTGATCCATTCCCCCTTACTACATCCCCCTTCCCTCCTGGTATCGCCACTGTCACCCCTGGTCCTGAGAGGTTCTTCTGTCCTAGATTCCCTGCGTTTCCAATTCCCATCTGTACCGCTGTGCATCATCTGGTCTAACCAGGTCTGCAAGGCAAAATTGGGGTCCTGGTAGTTGGGGGGAGGAAGCGTTTAAGAACCAGAGGAAGGTTGTGGGTTTCATTATTGCTATACTGTACCCTAAGTGACTCATCTCCCCACTACCCCTCTGCAAGGTATGTCCAGTTGTCTAGAGATGGGCATTGGGTCTCCATCGCGCGCCACCCTCATTGACAAGGATATGACTTTTCTCCCCGCCTTTGGTGTTTAAAGCCTGGTCCCTTTGGCCCTTCATGATCACACATGTTGGTGTGCTGCTTCCATGTGGGCTTTGTTGCTTCTGGGCTAGATGGCCGCTTGTTTACTTTCAAGCCTTTAAGTCCCCAGACGCTATAAGTCTCGATAGCCGGGCACCATCAGCCTTCTTCACCACACTTACTTATGCACACATTCATCTTCAGTGTTTATGCGTGGAAGGTGGTCACACAATGATGGCTTTTGTTATTTGGTGTCTGCTGCCTGTTCCCTTCAGCACGTCATGTTCGCGTATTCTTTCTGAGAATATTTGTCAGGAATGAGGATTGGATTTTGTCAATGCCTTTTCTACATTGATATGATCATGGGGTTCTTTTCCTTTGTTTTGATTATGTGGCAGGATTATGTTCATTGTTTTCCTAATGCTGAACTGTCCTTGCATACCTGGAGTAAATCTCATCTAGTCCTGTTATAACAGAAATACCACATGTGATGGCTTTAACAAATAGAAATGCATTCTTTCACAGTGGGGCAAGCAAGCTAAAAGTTCAAATTCAGAGTACTGGCTCTAGTGGAAGGCTTTGTCTCCTCTGAGCAGCTATGGGCCCAACATCCCATGCAGAGCTCCAAGGGTCTTGGCAGCAATCTTCCCTTAGTTCTCCTGTTATTGGTTTCTAATTTTATAGTGTTGTGATACAAGAAAATGATTTGTAGTATTTTGGTGTTTTTAAATGTATTGAGGTTTGCTTTGTCCCCTAATATAGAGTCTGGAGAACGATCCATGTCACTGGACAAGACTCTGTATTGTGCTATTCTTGGGTGGAGTGTTCAGTAGATGTTTATAAAGTCAAATTGTCTGATTGTGTTTTTAAAATCTCCGGTAATGTTGTTGAGTTTGATTCTAGTTCTGCTTTTCATTAAAAGGAGTGTGTCATCTACTATTATTGTGCATTTATTTATTTTTATTTTAAGTTCTATTAATGCTTCCTTTATCTATTTTTGGACTCTTTCATTGGGTTTCTGCATTTGGATTTTCATTAATCATAATTCTGTCCTCTTGTTGGACCAAACACTTCACTATTATGTAATGCCCTTCCCTGTGTCTTTTACTGACTTCTGCCTTAAAATCAATATTATCAGAAATCAATATTGCCATTTCTGCTCCATCTTAGTTGTCATTTGCTTGATGTGTTTTCCATTATTTAATTAAATTATTTTTATCTTTGTGTCTAAGTTGAGTCTCTTCTAGCCAGCATATATCCTTATTGTTTATGCCATTCTCTTTTCTTGACAAGTTCGTTTAACCATTTACATTCAGTACAATCAATACAATAAATTTACTGCTGTCATACTTGTGTGCATGTTTATTTTGGAATTGATTTTTATATTCTGTATTTTTGTGCTGAGTTTTTTTATGATCAGGTTGTCTTCTCATCTTCTCCATTGTTGTTGATTTTGTTTACTAGATGTGTCCTTATGATTTTCTTTTTATTTTGGTCATGTTCTTACGAAGGCAATGTGCCTTATAACTCTTATGTTCTTTCTCCGTATCTCTATAGTATCCTTAATTGTTATTTATCTTGTAAATTCTTTCTACCTTTTTCTTCCTGGACTCCCCAACTTTATCTTCTAAATTAATGGAGCCTTCTGGAGTCTCTGGTGGCATAGTTGGTTACCCATGGGGCTGCTAAGTGAAAGGTCAGCAGTTCAACTTCACCAGCTGTTCCTTGGGACCAAGATGAGGCTTTCTACTCCTATAAAAAGTGACAGTCTCAGAAACCCACAGGGACACTTCTACTCTGTCTAGGATCGCTATAAGTCAGAAGCAATTTGATGGTAATGAGTTTGGGGTGCTGAGGTTTTCAGTCTGTGGTTACTTATTTCTATGAGATAAATGTTTGGCTTTGCCTAATAGTATCTTAAAAATCATTATTTAGTATATTTTGTCCATTCTTTTATTTATTTAAATCAGGAGATAAGTCAGGTCATGTTTTTTGTTTGCTTTTTAATCTTTTTCAAAGACAAAGCCCAGTTATTACCTTCTACATACATACCGTTGTACATACTAGATTTTGATTGTTTCCTTCTTAGGCTCTCTCCAACCCTACAACTTAAAAAATTGCTGCCTATGGCCCCCCATCCCCCCACAGTACTTAGTTGATTTCAACTTTCTTTACATTTAAATTTTTCAGTGTATTTATTTTTGTATTATGTATGATATAGAAAATCCAGTTATCTTCCTTTCTCCCTCACTTCATTCCTTCCTCTCTATATACTTCCTCTTTATTTGGTGTATATAGTTAACAAGCAGCTAACCATTTGCTTCAACACTATTTGTTACATTATTTCCACAAGGACTTTTAAATACCATTTATATTTTTGTGATATATAATATGTGTGTATGTTATATATAAAATAGCTATTATATAGGTAATGTTAAATAGATTTCTATTTTAATATATTTATGATATTTTATCATATATTAACTTATTAGACTTAGGCTCTTATACTTCTCTTCCTTGGGAAAAATCTGTTGTTTCTGGAACTACTGTATTACTATTTTCTTATAGTAATTTTATAAGTATATTTTATTATCTTTTGGGGATGTCCCTTTATTATATAGCTTTTATTGATCATCCATGTCTTTCAAATTAACTTTGAAACTTTAAAACTAAAATTTCTAAAATTAACCGGCAAATACTTTTTGAACTTTTATATTACAGTTCATTGTATTTGAAAGACAAGTTATATCAAGTTTGTGTTTCTGGGAACTATTTATTCATATACTTTAATAGATTTTGAGAAACATCAGTTATTGGGAACTTTAAAATATGCTTTATCAACTTTGTTTTATATCATTAGTTCAAAGATTTTTAGATTAACAATAAAAAATTGATAACTTTAAAATGTCCATAATTTATACCTAAGTACAATTTTAAGGTTTTAATATATCAAAATTTTTTAATTTTTTAGTGTTTCAGCAGATGAAGTAAACTCCCCGTTATCACCCCTCACATGGCAGGTAAATAGGAAACTAAATTATGATTACATAGAGTATTTCGGTTTTGTGTATTTGATTAAAATAAATTGTCTTGTTATGCAGCCCTTAGAAAATCAGAAAGATCAAACAGAGGAACAATGGCCAGAATCTCAACCTATAATCTGGCAGAGTGAAGAAAGGAGGCGGTGCAAACAGATTAGAAAAGAATATTTCAAGGTACTTTATTAAATTTTAAAATATGTTATAATTATTAATTTTGATCTTATCAGTTTCGTCTTACAGTAACCAGGCAGAATAGAACTGTCTAGTTAAATTAGTAAATGTGCTATTTTATATCGATTTCCCGTACTTGTATGGTTTAGATGTCTCCCACTCCACTGCCATTGAATTGCTTGAGACTCGTAACAACCCTATAGAACTGAGTAGAACCGGCCCTGCAGGTTTCTGAGACTTTAGCTCTTTACCAGAGCAGACAGCTTCATCTTTCGCTGTGGAGGTGAGCTGCTCAACTTATGGGTAGCAGGCCAATGTGTAACCCACTGCATACCAGGGCTGCAGTAATGATGTATAATCAAATTATATGTACAAAATTCCAGCACTTCATAATAGTTAAGAATGAATAAATCAATCCGAACCTTGTTACTAACTAGTTTATAAGATGGTGTACCAATATATAGCAAGGTTTTTAAAGAACTGCCCAGGAAAGACCTTTTATTTGGGCTTTTTATATAAATAGTTGACTCAGGTCAACTAGCATTTTATATAAATAAATACTGCTTAATGAATCTTAAAATGTTTTAAAGTGATTTTATCTTTATATCCAAACTTTTCTTTTCTTCTTGCTACCTTGATATTTCTTCAAAGATTCTTTTATCACAACTAAAGCAAAGGTTCAGAACCATCTGAAATTAGCAGAGTTTTAATGAAATTTGATTGTGTACAACTTTCTCAAATGTTATATTTTTATCACATTTTATAACATATCTACTGTGCTTAAGGCTCTTAATCACAATACATTTTCAGAGGCGATCATCAGATTTTGGCATAATCTTCAGTACTTTTCTGAAACTATTATTTGTATTTCTGATTCAAATGGTCCAGGAAAACAAGGCTTCCTACCCCATGAATAACAAATGTGGTTATTACTGTTCACCTTTTCGGTTTCCTAAAGTCTAACCTAATCTAAATACTTATATTGTTGTTGTTAGGTGCCTTCCAGCCAGTTTCAGCTTCTAGCAGCCTAGGCGTAACGTAATGAACTCTAGCCCGTCTTGCACCATTCTCACGATCATCCTTATGTCTGTGTCCATTGTAACCAGTGGGTCAGTCCATCCCTTGAGGATCTTCTTCTCTTTCTACTGAGCACCTACTTTGCCAAGCATGTTGTCTTTCTCCAGAGACTAGTCTTTTCTGATAGCATGCCCCAAATATGTGAGACAAAGTCACACCTGCTTACTTCTAAGGAGCGTTCTGGCTATACTTCTAAAACAGATTTTTCTGTTCCTAGAATAACATGTTCTAAATTCATACTGCTAGGCATTTAAAAAATCGACGTATGGCCCCCATCCCGGGGGGGACAGACAGCAGAAAAGTGGGTGAGATGAGACAGCAGTCGGTGTAAAACATGAAACAAAAGAATAATGTATAAATTATCAAGGGGACATGGGGGAGGGAAGGTGAGGGAGAAAGGGGGGAAAAGAAGGAGCTGATGACAAGGGCTCAAGTAGAAAGAAAATATTTTGAAAAAGATGATGACAACATACGTAAAGATGTGTGTGATAAAACGGCTACATGTATGGATTGTGATAAGAGCTATAAGAGCCCCCAATAAAATACAAATAATAATAATTGTGTATCAGATTTGTTGGATAATGTAAAGTTTAAGTTAATCTTAATAGGAGCATATGTCATAATTAATGTTTTTGTCTGTTTGGAAGAACTGTATCTCTGTATATTATTTTGTTTTCATATATGAAATTATGAAATATTTTTGGAAATAGCCTATGATGTGGCCAAGACAAAACTATCTTATGTTAGTAGGTTTGTGGTGAGATCAATCCTTTAATCAAGAACTGGTCAACATAAGAGCGAATAAAAGTGAAGGGAACAGGGGAGGACATTATAGGTAGAACCCTGGCCCATAATGGTGAAAAGATTTACATTCCAGCATTTCATTTTAAAGGCAACGTATTTTACTTCATGGGACCTTAAACCAAAACACTAAAAAATTTAATAGATACTAATACTACTTGGTGAATAACTGATAATATGAGTGTGTAGGAATTTCAGTGTTTTAAAATAATACAGGACATTTGATACGGTTTTTATACTTCTTTATCCTAAGATAGGAAAACCATTCAGTGTCTGACTTCAGCAATTCTTGATTAGCAGCACTTAATAAGTACCAGGTGCTTATATCAAACTTTGTAAATATCAACTCATCTGAGCTCCATAAATAGCCCCATGAGATATGTACAGCTAGTATCTTTACTATTTTACGGATTAGGAAATGAAAACCTAGAGAGGTGTGCCAGGGCAAACAGCTAATAAGCAGCAGTTCCCAAACCTGAACCTGGAGCCTCTTTATCTACCTCTTTATCTACCTAGACATATAGTAAGTTAGCACATACTTTCAAATAATTGCAGTGTTCCTGCTTTTTAAATATTTACAGTCACCCAGGTGAATTGCTTAAAATCATTTTGATAGGCTACGTATGGCACATCAGCCACGACAGCCTCTAAGGCCTGCTGCCCATCACCCTTGGACGCTGCACTCCGCCAGCCCTCGGGCACCATGGGGAAGCGGGACAGTCGGGCGGCCTATATGAACCCCATAGCGATGGCCAGGTCAAGGGGTCCAGTCCAGTCTTCAGGTCTAAAAATACAGGATGATCTGAATTGACCAAGGCCTATGTGGGGAGAAGTGAATGAACACCTAGAACAGGAAAAGAAGGACTCCAAGGTATTGGGTGAATTTGAAGATAACAATGAAGGAGAACTCGAAGAACGAACTAGGAAAACAGAGGGAGAAACTATGAAGTGGACATGAGAGCTCTTCCATAAAGCGAGAAAGAACAAAGAAAAGAAGAAATCTGGTAGGTCTTCTTCTTCGTCATTAAGCTTTGATTCTTCCAGAAGTTCTTCAGATTCTGAAGATGAAGATTAAAATAATACTAATAATAAAATAAAGGAAGAAGAGGAAGCATAAGAAGAATTGTTCACATACGTTTTCAGAAAGCTGCATATCAGTAACGGATTTAGACAGACAGTAAGGATGGCGTTCAGAAGACAAAGAAGTCAAAAGATGCAACTGATACAGAAAAGGATGCGAAGGGACTTGGCAAGGAAAGAAAGCTGTGTGCTGGAGAGAACCTTTATCATCGGAGCGCATGTCAAAATCAAATTATGTGAACTAGATATCAGCAGAATAGAAGAAAATCAGTGAAGAACGAGAAAAAGCAACAGGAAAAAAATAGCCAAGAAGAAAAAGAAACATAAGAAGCACAATAAGAACAAGAAGGTGGCTAGTTCACATCCTGACTCACCATGATGTAATGAAAAACCCAGATTCCTCTAAAAAGAAACTGTAATATCTACAGAAATCTTGAATGAGAAATATGAGTTCTTTACTAAAATTCATGAATTTTCTGGTGTTTAAAATTATTCCTGGAATTTCAATAGCCACTCAGATGTTGCCATAATTGTTGCCTGTTGCTTAAACATCTTTTTTACTTTCCTCTTCCAATACTTACCAGCTCTGAGAGGTAATATATTGCCTCATACTAGTGATTAAGGCAGTGGTTCTCCACCTTCCTAATGCCGCGACCCTTTCCTCGTGTTGTAGTGACACCCCCCCCACTACCATACAGTTATTTTCCTTGCTACTTACTTCATCACTATAATTTTGCTACTGTTATGAATCGGGCAACCCCTGTGAAAGGGTCATTTGATCCCAAAGGGGTTGTGACCCACAAGTTTACATCCGCTGGGTTAAGGTATTTGGGGATAAAGTGAGTATTTTTTACCAAAATACCTAATTTCATGTAATCAAAGAAAATTGAACCTGGACATCTCTATCAATTACATTGAAATTTCAAAATCTTTATTCTATAGATAAATGTATCTCCCCTCCCATATACTTTTATTTACCCGGGGAAGGAAGTTTTCAGGAGGGGAAAGGTGTTTTGTTATATCATTAACTAGTGGAACATGACACCTTTGAGCCTCGTGTCCTATTTTTGTGGACTTCACAGCCATGCTTCCTGGGGACGGCAGAGTCGGCTCCAAGCAGCCTTGCTCTTTACTGAGCTTACTGACATCCTTGGAGACTGCTGCTTTGAGAGAACCAGTAAAACCGCCCTTTGCAACATGAGAAAGACCCCAAAGCTCTGTGATACAGTTAGTTTATTGTGCCAACCTGGCCGATAAACACATGTGGGGTTAATTGAAGGGGAGAGGGATAAATGGCTCAATGAGCCTCGCCTTTCTGGTTCTCGGGTCTCCTGCTCTCTGATGCTCGGTCCAGTGTGCAACTGCCTTAGCGAGTTCCCTGTGAGGAATCCCTGAGGAGAAGGCACATGGACCTACCCTGATGCAGCCCTGGGTGCTGGAGCAGCAGTGTGGAGACCTCTGCCAGCGCTGAGATGCTTACACGTTCACTGATTCGGCTTTCCTCCTGCAGTCTGCATCATTGCGTCTGTTTTGTGAGATGGAGGAGGACTTTGTGAATTGGTGTTGGATATATGGGTTAATGGGTTAATGTTGGACTTGTGGGCTTGAGCAGCACTGGGTTGGGATGTTTTCTTGATGTGCACCTTTATATAAAGCTCTCTCTTATACATGAGTTTCTTTGGATTTGTTTCTCTATAAAGTACTCAGACTAACACACTCTGGAATATGCCTCCACTTTAATAATACTGAATACTTTTTATAATTAGAATGTGTTAGGTCATTTGAAGTAATTTTAAATACACTTTGGCTTGGGGGAATAATCATTTCAAATAGACACTGGTCCTTTTGGACGTCAAGATTCTAAAATTCATGTTTTATGCTGCAGTTTTCATCAGTTATGAAACCAATGACACTTTATTTCTGGATTTTATTTAGGCCGAAATGTTTTGCTTTTGTAATTCTGTACTCTTGCTAAGTGCAAGTTCATGTCTGTGTTTAATGGTGTACTTGTTGAGAAATTTAACATGTACAAAGCAAGGTCTTATTTTTATTTTTTGTTTTAACAGATCTTGCCAGAATATTTGTATGTTTTAGAAGTCTGATATCTTTGTGTACTAATTTGACAAATTAAACAATTGGTTAAAAATGAACCTTTAAACAATTGTTTGGTTTTGTAGTGTCATCTCTTAATAACTTTCTTTTATGGCTTGGACATGCCTTCTATATTGATGGTTAGGTTATGAAGTTGCTAAGAGGCAGACTGAGATCATCGAGGTGCCCATTATGTACATAATCATCATCAAGTGTAAATTTCTCCCTCACTTATTAAAGTAGTTTCAAAGTCCGCTTTGGTTGCTGAAGTTAAATGGTTTTGTTTGGGAACGGCTTCCAAGAGATGTGTAGTTCTCCTCAGTCGTCACAAGATGTCAGTGTTAGGACACTACAAATACTGAGATGCCAACAACTTTTTTCTTAAGCTTCACAAAGTATTATAAAATTGACATACTACAATCTAAGTCAATATTATCATTTCGAAGTGACAGTATTTTATATGATTAAATTATCATGGGCCGTGTCTTACCTTTGGTTAATTACCTGCCACAATTCACATTCCTCACCAGCCACAGTGACCTTCTCTTCCTGTGATGCACAGGCTCTACTCATTTATTCCTATGTGCTTCTCCTGCATGTGAATGGGCAGTAGCCATCTTACTCCTAGCAAATTCGTACTGATCATTCTAGATTTCGAAAGAGGAGTGGCTAAGAGCAGGGCCTTCTAGAATCAAACCATTTGCGTTGCAGGCTTTAGTTGGCAATTCAATAACTGGTCACCCAATCATGCTGAGTGTAATTTTCAGTTTTGTCTACAAATAATTCTAGTAGTTTTCAACACAGAGTCGTTATAACTACTGAGTGATTTAATAATCTAAAGTGCTTTGAACAGTGCTGACCACTACTTAGTCAGTCATAAATCAAAATAGTAGCCTTTGGTTTACTCAAATGGCAATCTTTGAAATAGAATGGAACTAAGGTAAGGGACTTTAGTGGACAACTTACCTAGAGATGGCAAATAGGTTTCTTCTCACTTGCCAACTACAGTCAGTGGCTATTTGGAAGACTGGCACAATAAGGTTATGTCTTGGATCAGCTGGTAAAATAATGGTAGGTGTAATTCCCAGGAGAGACAAAAGGAGGAATGCGCTCCCTTTATTTGTAATTCCTACGAAGACAATCCGTCCAATATGAGAAAACTCAAACCCACTGCCGTGGAGTCAGTTCCGACTTGTAGCCACCCTAGAGGACAGACTAGCACTGCCCCTTGGGGTTTCCAAGACGCTAAATCTTCACAGGAGCAGGCAGCCTCCTCTCTCTTCCGCGAGGCAGCAGGTGAGTTGAGCTTGTTGAACTGTGGACAGCAGCTCCATGTGTGCCCCTGTGCTGCCACCAGCGCTCCTCAGCAAACCTTCGGGATACTAAGAGATACATTCATTCCTCTGTTGTCTCTTCTGTCAATTAGGACAACAGTTTTTAGTCTGATCTTCGGCTTTACCAAGCATGATGTCCTTTTCCAATGACTGGTCTCTCCTGTTAACATATCCATCGTACATAAGAAAAAGTCACTCAATCCTCATTTTTAAGGAGTATCCTGGCCGTACTACCCCCAAGACAGATGTGTTTGCTCTTCTGCCTGCCAATGGTGCTTTCCATCTTCTTCTCCAGCATCATAATACCAACGAATCAATTCTTCTCTGGGCTTCTTTATGCATTGTCCAGCTGGCATGCATATGAGATGATGGAAAATGCCATGATTTGCTCAGGCACACCTTGACACCTGGGCGCAATGATGACCTCACCCACAACAATTGGGAGGATAGCGCAGGGCTGAGCAGTGTTTCGTTCTGTTGTCCATGGGGTCTCTGGGGGTTGAAACTGACTTCACAGTACCGAACAACCACCATCATCTGTAAAGAAACTCTTCCCAATGGAACCCAGGCCTGGTTTCTATAAAGTAAAGGAAGGGAGAGGCTCAGGGAAAAAGAGGAAGGCCCTCAATTAATGGACTGACACCGAGACTGCAACTGGAACGGGAGCTCAAACATAGCAACTCTTGGGAGGATGGCTCAGAACCAGGGCAGGGCTGTGTTTCATTCTGTGGGACATGAGGTCGCTGTGAGTTGAAGTCGACTGGATGGTACCTAAAAACAACAACAATAAGGTAATGCCATCTGTATGGTTGAGATATCAACTAGGTTATTTCTTTTTTCCAGGGCTATGGAAGATAGAGCTATGTAGAAAATGTAATCACTAAATAGAACCTTGAAAGCCAGGCAGAGAAGTTTGGGCATAATCTAACACAGTGGTTGTCAACCGGCGGGTCGTGACTCCTATGGGGTCGAACAGCCCTTTCACAGGGGTCGCCCGATTCATAACTAGCAAAATAACAGTGATGAAGTAGTGATGGAAATAATTTTATGGTTGGGGGTCACCACAACATGAGGAACTGTATTAAAGGGTTGCGGCAATAGGAAGGTTGAGAACCACTGCTCCAGCGGTTGAATTTTCAGCAGGAAGGGTCATGAGTTTCAAGTAATGCTTTGAGATAATTAATCTGCCACTGATTTGCAAGCTGTCTTGGATCACTCTAAGAACTGTAATTTTTCCCCGTAACATTTTTCACATTAAGCACATTCCCTCTGTGCCTCAGAGTAAAATGGAGATAGATGATAAAAATATTTACGCTATAGGGTTATTATGAAGATTAAATGAGTTACTATATGTCAGGTGATTCTCCCAGAGCCTGACACGTAGGAAATACTAGTATAAGTTCTAGCTATTATCAGTATGATTATTCTTGTGTGGTAGTTAATGTAGTGGTTCTATACAATAACCTGAAATCGTTAGGTTTCTTAACAATCTTAAAGTGGTCTCAGGTGTGTTAGGTAGCGAGCCTGCAGATTACGTATGAGATAAAGAGGGCCTAAGATCATGAAGGAGCCCTGGTGGTGTAGTTTTATGTGTTGGGTTGACAACAATGTAAGCAGTTCAAAACCACCAGCTACTCTTCAGGGGAAAGATGAGATTTTCCACTCCGGCAAAGTGTTACAATATTGAACACCCACAGGGGCAGTTCTACTTTGCCGTATAGGGTCACTATGAGTCAGAATTGCCTCGATGACAGTGAGTAAGATAGTATGGAATTGTGAAACTTCAGAAGAAGTAATATGAGACAGATAATAAAAGAACTGATTTGATGACATAATGAATATAACGAATTACGGAAAAGGAGAAATTTAAGACAGCCTTCAGACAGCTACCTTGAATATATGGGGAACGGAGAAGCAAATGCTACTGCTACTTAGAACATAGGAAGCACTCTAATAATTGTTGGTTATTAGTAGTATTGCTAGTTAAAATGTCTATTTGCTTACATTTGTAGATAGGAATTTACCCAAAGTACCAAACTATGAATAAACATCATATGTTCAAGGAAAAATAAACATGTACTTTGAATTTTTTTCAGTATAAATCATCAAGGAAGAGTTCAAGTGGCCATGAAAACGACGAGGTGAGAAAAGATGGTATTAACAATGATTTGAAGTGTTTACCTTTCATGTGTAAGTAACTAGATCAGTGTAAAATGCATCGGCGTACAAATAATCAATTTCATCATGTCCTTTAAATATATCCTTTCAAGCAAGAATTTTCAGTTTCTTTTTATAATTTTGCCATCATTTATCTTTGCCCAGTAAATGGCATTGGAGGTGGGGGGTCATATCCAACCTCCTGTGGCTTCCTGCATCCAAGCTCCATTTTTCTTTATCTATTCTGACACCAACCATTCCTCCCACACCACTCTACACCATTGCAATAGCCACACAGAACTCACAGACAATACTCACTATTAAGGAGCTTTATTAGGAGAATTCAGAAGTTATTGGTCCACAGCAGTACCTCTCCTAAGCTAGAAGCCAAGTCTCTCCCTCTTCCTCAGCCTCTCAGCCACGTGGTTCCTTGGCTCTTGCCTCCATGAGACGGGCAGCCTACCTGCAGTTCCCCCTCATATGCCCTGCGTCTCAGCTCTGTTCCTCTGTTCTGTCTCCTGGCTTCCTTGCCTTGCCCTCTGGCGTTGGCCTGCCTGCTTTGCTCTGTACAATGGTTTCCATGCCACAGTCCGGTGAACCTGGTCTCGGCCTCCACCATGTCAGCGATCTAGAATGTGCTCTTTAATCTGTGGTCCTGGGATTTCTCCCTGTGTCCAAGATGGCTCTTTCACACAGAGGAAGGACTTTGGTAGAGATATGGTTGTTATATGATTTTAGTAGAGGTATACCCCCAAGGAAACAAAGAATGGTGACTTTCTTCAGACTCACTACAAAGGTCAAGAATTAATCCCACCTTAATTCTGTCGATGCATCCAGCAGAGCAGACCCTCCAAAATGGGCTTGCAGCTGCAGACGTAGAGTTCAGAATTAATACAGCACATAGGGAATTGTGACTAGAAGGGCCATATTAATTGATTACATTTCATGAATTTGAAGTTGTTCTACATTTGGCAATCTTTTCTTTCCCTTAATCAACCTGGTGTCCAGTGAGAATTTTTCTAGAAATTTAGTCATCTCTTTCTATAAAGTCTATGTATGATTTGAAAAAATTGGATCTTGAACTTTTTCCTCCACACCACTTTATGCAACATACCAGCACTACTTAAATAATAACATTCTTCTCACCACAAATAACGTGTGTACACTTTAGGTTGGGGGTATTGGTGTTTAATTTGATGCCGGATATTGGCACTGCTTCTGAAAGGATTTATTATTAGGAAATGAAATCACACAGGGAAAATAATGATTTCTTTCTAGAAACCTAGATATCTATTCTGCTCTCCATGACCACTCTCTGGGGTAAATCACAAGCACCTTAGGCAATAGCTAATTTTCTGTTCATTATTACTATCTATGGTTACGCTTAGATGTCTTGTGTGGGTACGTTTGATAGTATTTACATGTGAGTGAACAGAATCAATTCCCCAGTCTCAGTTTATTTATTAAATATTCCTCTCCAGGGTGTGGCCCACTGCATGGTTTCTTGTGGCCACATCAGCAAATCTTCCAAGAATAATACTGTGTACTTGCTTTTGCCTCTCACACATGTCTCTAATCTATCCTTTTCCTCTGAGCTTTGGGCCATTGTAATCTGTTATCATTTTTCTACTTGCTCAGAATCTCTACTGAATATATCCATTAGCGTCTATCATCTGGTGCAGTGGTTCTCAATCTTCCCTCCACATTTGAATGATCCAGTAAGCTTTGAAAAGTCTGTTGTCAGTTTACTCCCAGATATTCTAGTTTCATGACTTAGGCAACGAACATTTCAAATATCTCCTGGAGTTTAATGTGCAGCCAAGGTTGAGAACCACTGAATTAATGGCACTACCATATGTCATTCAGCTAGAGCGAGGGCTGGCAACTTACAATCTATGGGCTGCGTGTGACCCACCGCTTAAGGTTTAAAGTTTATTGGAATCGCCTAACTTGTTTATGTATGGCTGCTTTTGTGCTACAGTGGCAGAGTTGAGTAGTTGCCACATTGACCTCTATTTGCCTTTATAGGCAATAAATATTTATATTTTTAAAAAATATTTGTGTCTGGCCCTTTACAGAGTATGTTCACCAGCTTGTCCTCCCCCTCATTCCTCTTAGTAGTTTTAGCTTGTGCATCTAATAAATCACCATGACCTACTGCCCTTTTTTGTTTCTTTTCTGCTACTGAAATGTTTGGAATTCATCCCTCACTTTCTACTCTTTCAGTCCCTGGTCGGTCCTTTCTTGTCTAGACTACCGTATAGCTTCCTTGCTCTTCTCTCATTCTGTTGTCTGTTCTCCTGTCAGCATCCAGAATGATAGTTTTGAAGAACACAAATAGCCATCAGGCCATTTCCCTGTCTATAAACCTTCAGTATCTGCCCATCCCTTTGTGGGCAAACCCTAGAGCCTTCTTGACAAAACAACTTGCCTATCTTTTCACCTTAGCATGCAAAGGTTTTCTCTGTTTATCTTTCTATTTATTGATTTATTGGATTTGTTTCTGTTTTATTCTCATCTTGGGATGTTGTTCTCTTCATGTTCTGGTAGCCACTTCCTGAACCTTAGTTCGTACGCACTTTTTACTTTTATGAAATTGCCATGAGTTCCTTTTCTCCACTACTGATTTCTTATTTGTGCCTCCTAATGTTATGCCTAGCTCTACTGTTGTCTTAAGGATGTTATATCACCTGTGCATGTGTCCCTATTTTCTCTCTAAATCTAGAGAGATGCAGGAGTGGCTCTTTCACTAAACTTCGATACGCTCAGTGTCTAGCACAGTCCTTGATATATAATAGCTGATTAAGAAACACCAATTTATTATTAATAACTTGTCTGAATATTTTGCTTTGCATGTATTTGGTATACATGTTAAAAACACCATCTTGACATTTAACCTTGAATAGACACAGATGTGCTACGCATCTACAAGATTAAATCTCAGGGTTTTGTATTTGGAAGTCAGTAAAAGTCATTTAGAAATCTTGGCTCATTTAGCCTTGTTTGATGTAATAGAACGATTTGTAATGATATCTAAGTCTATATTAATATGTTCCATGTTCCAGGTGAATTTCTTATATGGGGTGATGGAGTTCTTAGGTCCTTTCATACGTGTCTCAGATTATGATACATTGTTGCTATTTTTATTTCAGGATTTATTGGAATACATGGATTATTATTATTTGGTGTGGTTTGTGTTGAAACTTACAGGCCAAATTGGTTTTTCATTAAATAACTCAGACACTCTTTATTTTGTGGCTTTGATTGCAAGCCCCACAGTGTAAAAGCGCTCCTCCCACTTTCTTTTATATCCCTTCCTGATTTCTGAGCTTTTATGCTGCCTTTTTGATCTTGTATGGTTGATTGTTCTAATGAGTGTGAACTTCACTGGACTTATTCGCCTTACAGGTTTGAGTTTCGTTTCAGACCTTCATGGTGACTAAGGGCCACAGTCTTGGGGGTTCCCACAAGTCTCTATCAGACCGATAAGCCTGGTCTGTTTTTGTGATTTTGAATTTTGCTCCACATTTTTCTCCCATTCTATCGAGACCTCTTACTGTGATCCCTTTTAGAACAGTGAGCCATGGTAGCTGGGCACCATCTAGTTCTTCTGGCCTCAGGATTGTGGATCCTAGGGTTTATGTTATCCACCAGTTCTCTGGACTAATTGTTTCCATGTGTCTTTTGATATTCTTCATTCTTCTTTGCTCCAGATGGAGAGACACCCAATAATTCCATCTTACATGGGCACTCACAACTTTTAAGACCACTAATTGCTACTCACCAGAGTAGAGTGTGGACCACATTTTTGGTAGACTGTTATATCAGTTGACCTTAGTGTCCCCTGAGACTATGGTCCTGAGCTCCTGTCCTAATAACTCATTTGTGGGTCCTTGTGAAAGACATTTGAAACCATGTTTCATTTGTGATAATCAAACATTGGTGGAAACAAATTTTATGTGATTTTATCAATGCTTCTCAAATATTCAAAGTCCTTAAAGATCACGTGGGCATCTTATTGAAAGGCACATTGAGCTTCTGTAGGTCTTGAGTGGAGCCTGAGATTCAGCATTTCTAATAAGCACTCAGCAGGTGCCACTGCTGATGATCCATTGGCCACACTTTGAATCACAAGGTGCTAGATGGTTTATTTTGGATTCTTTCTTTAGCAGTTGATCAAAACAAGTTTCAGTTTTCTTTTTATATGTTCAAGTCGTTATTCATATTTTAATTTCATCTTGCATCTTTTTATTTTTATATTTTAGCAAGACAGTGATAATGCTAATATGTCACCACAGTCTCCAGTGTCATCTGAGGTACATGTTCTGTTTTTATATGTGTGTTTATGTGTGTTTCGATCTGGTCTCTGCTCTCTAGCCTCATCTTTTTTTCTTTTTTGGCTATGTACCTTATTCAGCCATATTTTAAAACCTGCGATAGCTTTGTTTGTACAAAGTGTCTAGTCTTAGAAAAATTCTAAGAATATGATCTTTTTGTACAAATACTAATGCTCCATTAAATACTACTTGTCAGCATAGGATTTAGTTACTAGAAAATGTATATTGATCCTAGAAAATAATTCACTCTATATATGCTTTCTAATTCATCCATGCTTTGAAATAAATGATGGGTTTTAAGAAGAACTTAAAATTTGTAATTTTGAAAAACTAGTTCAGCATTGTGCAATAGCCGTTGGTTTTTCTTGTAACCAATTGGGCCTACAAACAATGCAAAAGAAACGTCCTTTTTCCACGAGAAACATCCCTGCAGTGGGTTGTTCCTATCGACAGGAGGGTACACATTTCCTGGAATTAGAGGCCTCAGGGCGGTGGCATGAGGAGAAGGCATGTATATGAAGGCTGTATTTTGTGACTTCTTGGCCAAATGCTCTTGTGGTTTGAGTGACTACTAATTTTAATATACCAGAAGTTAAATTTTACTGCTTTACAATGAGATAAATTTAAAGTATTCTAGACAGCATTGTTACTACTTCAGATTACCTTATTTAGTATTTTCCAAGTGTATTGGCATTAGGACATAAATGGTTATGCATTCATTCAGTGAATTTGAACTTCGCTCATCAAAATCCACTCTATAACTTTGGTTAAATGGATAGTATTTCATTATATACAGGGCTTGTTACTTTTCTTTAGAAGCCAGAATTTATTTGTATATTCTTTAGATGTATTACTTTAGTATGGTAAGCATATTTCTAAATTATTTATTTGTCAGGCAAAGGGAAATTTCTTTTGGAAAATAATCAAAATTAGGATATCCTAAAAATTATTTTGTCACATGCTTCTATAAACTTTTTACTTAATTTCAGCTATCACAAATTCATGCACGTGACTATGTAATTGCCTAGTTGCTTTGTGTTGCAATATCTGCTCACCAGTGAGTGTGCTAATGACAATTTTATCAAATTTTGGTTTTATAATACATTTTGCTTGCATTTGGACAAGTGACATTTTTGCCTACAAATTGATAACCCTTCCACCAAAATGCTGTGAGGCGTGAGGATGACAAAGGTGGTGAGCGTGTCCTTCGGTTGCTGTTCCAGTTGAACTGTCTGTCTCGTGTGAATCAGCAGAAGCTTCACAGAAATTTCAATTGATTCTATTTCATCTGTAAAAGGACAACGGTGAAAAACAATTAGTGTGGTGCTTGACCATTAACCATATATGAACCTGTGCATTTGAACCTAAAGTTAGTTCTATGAGCTAGATGTCATCCTGATAATTTTTCAGTGGAAGAGATTGATGCATTTCCCCCAAACCAGTCAGTAAATAGTGGAGAAGTAACTAGAGCTCAACCCAAACCCATTGTAGGCGAGTCGGTTCTGACTCATAGTGACTGCAGCACACTCAGTAGAAATGCCCATAGGCGTTTCTGAGGCTGAGATTGGGGTGGAAGCAGACCTCTTTCTCTCATGGGGTGGCTGGTGGGTTCCAGCTTGTTGGTTAGCAGCTGGACACTCAGCCAGTATTGCCACCAGGGCTTCTTCAGGCCCTACCTCTCTCCCATAGTTGTTGCATAGACTAAATAAGGTGCTGCTAACACTGGATTCTTTTTCTACCTTGCAATTTACAAAGTGCTTTCCTTTAGTTATCTATTTAAGCTTCATACTAACCCCACTTTAAGAAGTAAACATCACATAGAAATGAAATTTTTTGCCCCAAACTTACCCTCAACTTTCTGATTCCAAATTCTGTTGTTTCTGCTTTAGATTTACCACCATTCTTTTCACAGGACACTGATCTATGTGAAAGCATTTTGAAGCAATGTGAATTTAAGTAGAAGAAATCATAATTTGCCATCCACCGCTTGGCATATCCTATTAGACTGAATCTGTACACTGGCCTCAGAGTACCCACTAAGTTCATAGTAGATACTGACTAAACATTGCTAAATTTACCTATCTTTTTTGGGAGCTTATTTTGGGGGAGATTTTAATCTAGATCATCATTCAAGAAATTAGCATTTGTTTTATACACTTTAGTAATCGTGTGCATGTACACGCTCCTTGTACTATAAGAGGCCTGTAGCCACATGAATCAGCACATGTTTACTAACTTTGCACCCTTGAAATGTGTTCACTTGAATAAAAATGCACGTTATCTTTCTCTACTAACCATCGGAAAAATAAGTACTTCTCAATATTAAGAAAAAGAATTAGAATAACTACTTTGATTATTTTGGAGGGAAATGAGGTTCTATTTGTTTTCTATTTGTAGGAATATGACAGAACTGATGGCTTTTCCCATGGTCCTTTCGGCCTGAAGCCTAGATCAGGTAATTTTATATTCTGTAAATCAAATGTATGGGTTGTGTAATAAAACTAGTTTCCCAGGTAAATGGGATGGATTCCATTGTTTTAAGTGCACGTGGATTCTTTCCCCTCACCAAAAAATCATTTTCTCGTAACCTCATTTGTCTTTCCAATTCCCTTTCCCCATCTCTTTCTTCCTTTTTACCTCCAAGCCCCTGAAATCTCAGCTTTTGACCCTAGACATACTGCAGTCTGATTTCTTCTCTATGAATGACCACCCTGCCAGCAGACCAAACACTGTATGAAATGATAGCACTCCTATAGGTATAAAGGATCTTTTCACATTTGACAAGCCAAAAGCAAATGGGTCCTTGTGATTTGGCAAGGTATTGAATGACAGTTTTTATTCCTGAATAACTGCATTGACCTTCAAGAATAATTTGTTTTCATTAAAGATAATAAAAAGACTGAATTGTGTTGAAGAGGCCTTTTTAATCCAGATCATAATTTTCTCATAACTTAGGTTTAAAGAAGCTCCTGTACAGGTGGGAGAAATCATTATACATTTCTTCCCTATTACTTTCCATTAGATAGAGGCATTCAAATATATTTTGTAAAAATTTTAGAATGTATCAATAAGTAAGAGTGTAATCTGCAGTTTTGTATTAGTTTTTATCATACCTCTTTCCCCATTGATGGTTACTTCATGATTAGCTTTGTAATAAGTTAGGGGATTTCTCTTCCTATAGCTTTTAGCCGCTCGTCTCGCCAGGAATATGGAGCAGCAGATCCTGGATTCACAATGAGAAGAAAGATGGAACATTTACGAGAAGAACGCGAGCAAATACGACAACTTCGAAATGTAAGTCAGTTTGACCTTGCCTAGCTACTTTGTTGAAAAGGGTTTGACTTGAAAAAATTAATAAGGTCTATGCATTTTATTTTCAATGACCTTCAATATTTATTATTATATCCTAGTTAATAATATAAATATGTAACATGTTTAGATAGGAAATCTGTGATTTACAATTAGAAAAAGAATAATAGTCACATGAATAACAATGAGTACAGGAAAGAAGAAAATGTTCTATAATTGAATGTGGTGAGAATTATATGACTTTGATATAATTGAATAATTGAATTGTGTGACATGTGGATAAAGTGCTCATGAAACTGCTGAAAAAGAAAATATGTGATTTATACCCATTTTTTATTGTAGAACCTTGAGTCCAGGTTAAAAGTAATTTTACCTGATGACATCGGAGCTGCACTGATGGATGGGGTTGTTCTGTGCCATTTAGCCAATCACATAAGGCCACGATCTGTCGCTAGCATTCATGTGCCATCAGCAGCAGTGGTAAGTTTTGTGTACAATTAATACATTTTCGAAAGGAGGATAAAACTCAGAGCTGTTTTAAAATAATCTCAGTACATTCAATTATTTGTTTTGGAAGATTTTCACTTACTAATGCCTGGAAAAATAAGGTTTTTTTCCTTCCTTTACAGCCTAAACTAAGCATGGCAAAATGCCGAAGAAATGTAGAGAATTTTCTTGATGCTTGTAAAAAATTGGGCGTCTCACAGGTAATTGTGATGTGTCTAACAAAATGATCATTAACTTATTAACTTATTTCTGGAAAACTGAGATTCTTCATTTTCAAAATAGGGATAGGTAATGCTTCTTGAACATAAAACACATACCATTCCTTGGTACCCTCTATTAAATTCTGGCTCTATGCTGTAGCTATCTAGTTTGTTACTTTTATAAAAGCTACTTGTGAAAACATTTTCTAATCATTGAATAAGCCTAGTTTAGTGCCTATGTTATTCCTTGGTTATGATGTCATTATTAATATCATTTTACTCTCTGGTAGGTGTTTGTACCCTTTTGCAAATCCATAAGGAGAATCAGTTAGGAAGATTCGAATAGTGATTTAAGCTTTACTTTAAATGGCAAAGTATAAATTTTAGTGACATATTAGGATGTCACACACATACACACACACGAGAAACTGAAATTTGTAGGAGTTGCCTTATGTTTCACATAATAATTGCACTATAAAATTAAGATTTCAAGCAATATTCTAATTGTATAATACATGTATAATTAAACTATTGCTCTTTTTGAGATCACTGTAAGCCTAAGCCAAACACAATTATTAAGAGGACATGGCTCTGAAAAGTCGCCCAAACCCATTGCCCTTGAATTGATTCAAACTCATAGTGACCCAACGGGACATGGTAGGACTGCCCCTTTGTGTTTCTGAGATTCTAAGTCCTTATGGGAGCAGAGAGCATCTTTCTCCCGCAGAGCTACTGGTTGATTTGAACTGATGGCCTTGCAATTAGTGGCACTGTTAGCAGATCACAATTGGGTTGTAATATTGCCTATAGATTCCACTTTTACCACTTTCCTCAGCAAATAAATACCATTTATTGAGAAGCAGATGATAAATTATTATTTGATTTTGGAAGCGACATGCTATTCTCTAATGATGTCTTTATGCTTGCCTAGAACAGCTATGATGCTTTACACTGTACTTTAAATGTCATAGTATAAATTTTAGTAATATATTAGGATGTTTTATATATTTACTTAAATGTTTATCTAATAAGCGAAAGCTTGTTGGTGCAAACCTACCAGTTGCTTCTCAGGTTGCCGTGGGTCAATGAGAGTTGGAATTGACACACAAGATGTTTGACAATATGACCTTTAAGAAATGAATCAAAATGTTTTTGTATTCCTGTTTTGTACTCTTAATTTCTTTGAAAATAGGAATGGTAATAGCTTTAGTGAGCTATAAGTGACATACAAAAGAATGTGCATAATGTGTACAGTTTAATTTATCAGGAAGTATGTATATATTGCGAAAGTATCCCCACAGTCCCAACAGTGAGCTTGCCCGTTACCCTGAAAGGTTTCATCAGGCTGCTCTGTAATTCTTTTCTCCCCAGGCAGCCACTGTTCTGCTTTCTGTGACTCTTAATGGGTTTGCATTTTCTAGAGTTTTGTATAAATGGAACCATAAGACTCACCCAATTTTATAGCTTCTTTTATTCCGTGAATTCTTTGAAGAGGCCTTCCTGTTGTTGCATGTATGCATCCTTTATTCCTTATGTGCCTATAACTTTGTTGATTCATTGACCTGTTTCCATTTCCCCAAAGTTGCTGGGAACATTTGTGTATGACTGGAACTTACAATTGGGGTAGATGTAACATTTTTTCCCTTCTTTATAATTCTAAAGACAAGCTAGGAATCATTCTAGGTGATAATATTTATCAGAAAAAGTATATAATTTTTGTCATATGTTAAAAATTTGGTTCTGACCTATCCATTCATACTGGACTTTTGCTGAAGTCACGTTTTACTGTACAATTTTACAATGTGAATACTCAACCATCATGTTTTCATTTTTCAGGAAAGACTCTGTTTACCTCATCATATTTTGGAAGAACGAGGTCTTGTGAAAGTTGGTGTTACGGTTCAGGCTCTTCTTGAATTACCTACAACCAAGGCATCTCAGCTATCTGTGGCTTAATAACAACCTTTTAAAATCATAAGTGTATAGTTTCATTTATTTGAAATGATTTAAACTATCTCAAGTTAATGAATAAAAATATCGAATCAAAAGAGTTTAATTAGATCAAGCTTTAGAATTTAAAAAAATCATATGATAAATATCCAAATTAGACTTTGAATTGCCCAAACTCTTTTTGAGAAGACTTTTAATTTGATAAGAATTTTTGATACATTCAAATTCTCTTTTTTTCTGAGTCATCTGACAACTTTGGTTCTTTTTAAAATAAAGTAGAATGATACTAAATTCTGAAAATAATTTCAATTTACTATTAATCTTAAGTTTAATTTTTTACACACCATACCATACTAGTAAATATCTGGAAAAGGTAATACTTTTTTTTTACTGATTTAAAACCAGTCTGCATTTGAATCCTTTAATACACTCCTAGTTTAGACATAATTTCTTCAATTTTTGGTTTTAGTTTTCTAGCAAAAAAAAGCAACTCTGGCTTTACATTAAATTCTTTTAGTATTATAGGTTGGTGCCAAAATCTTTTTAAGTTGGACTGTAGATTGTTTACATGTGAAGTGCCTGTGTAATTGATGACTTTTATATAGTCTTAAGCATTTTTGCAGTTTCTTTTTATGTATTAATAGAGTCAATGGAACTTTAAAATATTTTAGTAGATTTTATAAGGTCAGTAATATGTGAGGATTTAAGTATATCTCACATTGTAACATTTATCTTTTTTTAAATTTAGTCCATTGCATTTTTTCTTAAATTGGTTATTTCATACTGTCAGCAAAAATGTTAATATGCTTTATTTATGCTATTTAATTTTCCTAAATTTAATCTTTGAAAATGTATTATTTGAAGAATATTTTATTTCTGTAGTAAAAACCTTACACAAAGCAGTAGGGTATCTGAGAACTAGTGAAGTACTAATTATCAAGGATGTTTTGATAAAACTGCCAAAGTTTGGGTTTATATATTGACTTTCAGGAATATTACATCAGTCCTGTTTTTAGCTACACTCAGAGAGCGGCAATTAAGGTGTTTATTTCAATTTTGGCCATTTGTCGATCCTATAAATTTCATTGGTTCTTAACTCAATGTTGAATTAGACACAAAATATTCTTTAAATATATTCATAGCTATGTATGTTAGGTAAAGTCCCTGATTAATTTAGATACGGATAAATTTAAGTTGGTAGTAGTGCTGGAATTTTCCAAAAACATAAATGAGTAACTCAATTTCCTATAGAAGAATCTTAATACTTTTGTAGTAGCCAATCGAATATCCAATTTTAAATATGTAATTGTTTGCACTTATTACCTCTTAATATGGATGCAACTTATTAAAATTGTTGGCCTGTTTCAAAGGGTTTATATCAAAGGTCAATAACTAGTGTGCCAAATGGTAAAGTAAGGGTTGGTGGAGGAATAACTACTTCTTTTGATTCATTGGCATGAAGCCTTCTAATTGAATTTTGGCTTTTTAGAATATAGGTGTATTCTTTATATTTCCAAAAGGTTAGATTAGAGTTTCTAAAGAATCAAAGCTACTTGTGGCTATAAGATTTTAAAATGAAATCATTTTTAGTAATTTATTACTTTAAATATTCTGAAGTAATTGACTATTTTTCCTGTGTTTGAAATGAACTTGTACGTTATTGAAGACTCCAAGTCCACTTCAGTTTTACTTTTCCTTCTGTTTCAGCCGCTCAGACCCATGTTTAGATCTGAAGGACAAGGAATCCGAAGGAGTAATTGGCTATTTTTAAGTCGAATCTGAGAAAAATCTCAGTGACATAATATTTTGTGGAAATTTGGGTAACATAGGTGAGGAATGGCAACTAAATAATTCGTTTTTAGCATAGAATCTTGACAATGTTACAAAGAAAGTGACCATTAAAGCTATGGTGACCATTCATACTGCTTTCATAGTTAATCATATTTTAGAAATTTATATTATTAATCTAGATGTTAAAGGTTTTACAGATATTTTCTTGTTTAATGTTGTTGAATTGTAAGTGAATTTGTAGGCCATTTCCTTATCGCATTTCACTTACTTGGCATTTAGTTATTATTTCCAAGAGAAAATACTCCAGAACCTCACTTGTAGCATTCTTTACTGCAAATCCAATGTTCACTAAAGATAGCTTCATCTGAGGTTCTCATCATTGCTCTTTACCTCATCTTGAAGGCAGTTACATAGCACAGTTGCCCAACGAGGGCATGATACCATGGCTCGGATGTCTTTCCCTTAGTAGTTTTTGAAGTGTAAAAATTATTCTAAATGTTTTTACGGTTATGATATATTTACCTCATCAAGTATTGAATTGCCAATGATTATCACTAATTTCAATTGGATTTGTGATTTGATGAAGGTTGAGTTATCAAACTAAAGTATTTTATTAGGCCATAAAACATAAACTGAATAGCTACTTCTGTTACACTTTATTACTGTTTGGCACAAGAAAGAATAAGTGATGTTGGATATGTTAGGATTAAAATAAGGAATAAAAATGCATTACTGTTTGTTTAATAATTTTCCTTACAGAACACTAGTTTAATGACTTTTCTAACTGAAATTTTTAAAGCATTCAGAAATGTTTGTATTGGTCACAGAGCTATCATAATTGATTTTCTGATGCATTTAAAAATAAATGGAACAGTAAATGTATATTACCGAAGGAAACTGTGGATAAAATTGAACAAGAACAAAAAAAAATAGATTCTGTGCTTTCTTTTCTCCATCCCTACTTCCTCTCGGCGTCATAACATTCCTTTTTTTTGTTGGTGGTGGTTATTGATTGCCTGTATCTATTCCCTACTTTGGAAAAATGATCCACCTTCTAGGTAATATTCAAAGTCTTTTTAGTCCATGTTATTTTCAAATAGATAATACTTCCTTTAAAACCAAATAATTTTCTACGTGTCACAAATGGTATCACTTCTTTATTTTTTTTCTTTTATTTATTTATTTTTTTAATTAATTAATTTATTTTTTTAACATTTTATTAGGGGCTCATACAACTGTTATCCCAATCCATACACACATAAATTGTGTAAAGCGCATTTGTACATCGTTTCTCA